TACAAATAATTCTAATGATAATTTCAAGCTCTTATACAAAATGCACATGTTCATTAAGCCAGAGTTTAATGTGGTTCTGACCACCTATTACGTTTTTCTTGCTTGAAATATGCGTAAACTTATTCACAAAGCCTTCAATTAAGTCTGTCTTAAGTTTAAGGAGCTCACAGTTAGCTGGCACCTGTGTAATTAAACTAAATTGTCATTGGGGAAGGAGAACAAGCARGAGTTCAACTAGTGAAGCAGACACCATTTGAACATAGGAGAACATAGAGCCGCGTGAAGCGGCRCTGCAGCCCCTGCCAGGGCACTCGCACCCACTCGGCAGGGTCCCCGYGCACACACTGAGCCCCAGCCGGCTGGCAGCGAATTTCCTCGGGGCTTCTCTGCATCCTCCTTTTTCAATTTGAAACTCCTGACAGAATTGAGATTTCTACTCAGGAGATTTCTAATATGGTTAAAATTTGGGTGATTCCAAGTGTGGCTTTATTAAGGTTATGAGGGAATCGTTGAACTTCCTTCTAAATGCATTTGCTAACTGCAAATGAACTTTTCTTGATATTTGCCACTGAAGATCTCAGGAGATTTTCCCCCCTAGATTAGGCTGGTTCCTAGGCTAGCCCCATAGATTGGTGCTGCTCCCCAATATATATCTCCTTTGAATCAGTCTGGCTTCTTCTCAGATAGTGCCCTTCTAAAAACCCATGGCAGGCTTTAGATATGTTCAAGGTAAAGTTCTGTTTACTTGAATGTTGTCTTTAAAGAAATATTTTAAAAAATGAGCAAAGCCTGGTATTTATACCTAGTATTATCAGATTAACAAATGTAGTTGGTTTTGTCATGCCAGCAGTGTTCATTAGAAAGGACACATCCTATTGATAGTTTAAAAAATATGTTTTTGGTCTGATGAGAGGTTTGGATAAAGTGATTTGGAGTCTGTTTTGGTTTTTAGTCATGAAAAGTGACTCCCATGTTGAGGAAAAAGGAAGGGCTGTGTGAAGATGAAATGAGTGCCTTGGTCGGACCCCAGTTCATCTACGTTCTCCCTGGCCAGGAGCAGCTGCCTCGGGAAGATCCCAAGGTCGGATCCGTGTGTGCTGAATCCTCATCTGGCATCCAGCAGCCTCCAGCTCAGGGGCTGCCCAAGTCAGAGGGTTTTATTCCATTAGCCATCAACAGATTTTTCTACCATGTTTTTTTCTGAACTCTATTTGAACCTTTGGGAGTTTCTCTCACTCATAACATCTAGGGCAAGGAATGGCACTCACTAACTTCATTTTGCACGAATAATTGTTTCTCTTTTAGTCCTGAATTTCACTCAGTTTGTTTGGGAGAAGCAGTGAATGGTCATTTCCTTTTTATGTTTTGTGCTTCCCAAGGTTTTATAGGTCTCTGCTCGTCCGCTTTCCTGGCCAAAGACTCCTGGTGTACTTAGATGCTTCCTATATGGAAAGCATTCCATGTTTTTCATCACCTTTGCTGCCCTTGTCCAACCTTTACTAGAACAGCTAAAAATATTTTGTTTCTAGGTTAAAAAATTTTAGATTTCCAATGTTATATTTTTCGGTTAAAATATTTCCAGAGTGTATTAAAACCAAGCCAAAACAAACAAAACCCACAAAAAGTGGAACATGGAGCAACATGTTGTACAGGAAGAAAAGTAAAATCAACTCTTTTGTAGTTTTACATTCCTGCAAGTGGATAGCTGATTTTCTCTGACTGTATTCAACATTTCACTGTATTTTGCTTTACTTCAGTCTTTGTCTTGTGTTTTAAGAAGCATTCTTCCTACTAAGAGCAGCTTAAAAATAGGATTTATTTGTTTTGATTGGACTCTGCTGTAAGCATATATGTTTGTTTGTTTAGAAAGAGGTAATTGAAGGATGCAGTACCCTGCCTGGTGTTTGTTACTTGTTTGTAATGCTTATTTAACAAGATTATAAAGTCATTGTAGCTTGGGGAGATGGTCACTTGTCTGCATACCTGCTGACAGACTATTGTGAATCTGGAAATAATGTGTTGTCATGTGCATTTAATTAAGTATTTATGCTTGGGTGGTGATGAATGGCCTAGTAGTGGTAGACCACGGAGCACTAAGTGTTTACATCAGAAAAAGTGAAATCTATATGGTAGGTAGCTTTGCTTGTGTGCGTTACCCTAGTGCACATTAATACATGTGATGTTTTGGGAAGCGTAGAGGTAACTTGAAATGTTCTGACTGTTGAAGAGCTTATTATGTTACAATAGATTATGAGAATTATGTTTCTAAAAAAGGAAATGGAATTTAGCACTTATTACAGCTTTCTCTGATAGCTGTGTGGACTTTTTTTTWAAAAAATGGATACTTTAAAGAAAAAAATGATATTTTTACAAACTCTACTGGAAAAATGAAATCTACACAAAACTGAATAAAGCCTATATTCCTGTCACACCTCGTGAGGAAAGATAGTGTGCAAATATCCATAGCACTTTGTATTTCTGATTCAATCAGAGGGTTACCAAGCAATAGCAAAACCGGAGTTCCCGTGAGCCGATGCCCCGAGGTGACGCTGTGGAATCGCGCGGTGGGGAAGAGCGTTGGGATGGCGCTGGGCTGAGCTCAGGCACGGCAAGGCCGAGCTCAAGCAGCGGGACCGAGTACTGCGAGTCCATCCTTGCGCGTGCGCCTGAAATGTGTCAGTGAGCAGAAGCGGACAACACTGTCCCTTCCTGAGAATCCTGAGGGAAAACAAGGAAGCAGCAAAGGAACAGTTCGGATTTAGCCGTGGGGCGGGTGGAGCTGAGCAGCSTTTCTCCCCTTCGCCCTTCTTCACACACTGACGTTCAGGGCTTCCCAAGGTGCTGCCAAAGCTAAAAGGACAAACCCAAGATTCTTCTCAGCTTAAATCAGGGTTATTTGCAGATAAAATCRTAAACAACCCCTGAAGGAAATAAATAAAATCCTTCCTTCCTGATGCGCACAAAGGAGAAAAGGAAGGYGCTCCTGAATTCCAGCATTCCAACCGCAGCAAGGCTGGGAGATGGAAGGAAAATAACCCTTTTCAAAACAAAATTAAATACAGTAGCTCAAGAAAGACCCAGATGAAGATGAATTATRTTAATCTTTTTCCTTAGAAATAATAAAAACAGGCAGTTGTTTGAATCTAAATATTGAAGAGTCTGCTTCTTCCTGTCTCTGAGGGAGACTCCTCCTCCGTGTTCATTTCACATGGGTGGATCTCCTTCCCCTTCTCTCCAAGGTATTATCAGGTGGAGAAATACAGCAAACAGCTGTTTGCTTAAGTCAAGCACAACTGGAATGGATTTTTAAGATTAGGACCTCTCTAGCGCGTTGCCTTACGTGCCCTTCAGCTAGGGTTTGTACCGTCTGATTGATGTGGCCAAAGCACTGACATGCAATTGCACGGTCCAAACAAGGTGCAACGGCRGTGCCGTCCCACCGAGCAAATCCACATGTCCCCAAGTGTCACCTGTGTGAGCGGGTCCCTGCACTGAGGCGGGGTGGGGAAGCGCAGGCTGCCCTGCTCTGCCTTGCTGCTCGTTGGGGTTCGCATGGAGCAGCGTCTAGGCCCTGCTGYGGTGATCCAGCCTGGCCTTATGCCCGCAGGCTGCGGTTTCAGGCCTTGGGATGGAGTTTTGTGCTGTGTGTAAGCGCGTGCATTTAAGTCATTTAAAACGCTCATCTAGGTGTGTGGGCCATCAGTGCTGACACAGTAAAGCCAGGCTTTGGGAGGGCCATTAATCCCACAAGTAGTTAGTCCAAGAGAAGCACAACTGGTGAAGGGTGCGCTGTGCCTTCCATTGGCTGAATCAAYTTATTTTCCCTCACAGTGCATCATACAGAGACATCTGTTGGGAACAAAAGAGGAATGATTAAGACCAAAAAAAACCAAAAAAAACAAACAAACAAACAAAAAAAAACACCATAAGTTATGAAAGCAGAAGCACTTATAAACACATTTATTGTTCATCCTGTGAATGGATCCGTTCTCTCACTTCTCTTCTGTCCTTAGTTTTATGGATTTAAAAATAAATTGATTTATTTGGGATAGATTCCTCCCTATGACTTAAACTGTTTTATTTCATTACTGTATTAACCCCAGCTATTCCTTTCAGTATCGGACTGTGCTGAAGTAGAGCAGGGTTACGTTTTTCTGCAGGAGTTACCAGGCAGACAAACCTGGTTGGCACCCCAGCCACTCTGTCCGTCTCCAGCAGCCGCTGTGTGTGAAAACGAGGAATTATGGAAAGAACGAGCCTGGGCAGGGGGTCAATATCAATACAGCCTTTGTTCGTGATCTGGGCAGGGTTTGTGTCCACATTTTAGGAGCTGAGAAGTTAACCAGCTGTGTAAAGGTTTGCTTCAGCTCTGATTATTATCTGAGGGATAAAATGTGAATGGTGTTTTTTAGGCAGCTTGGACTTGACATAGATATAGAAGCAAACTTATAGCAGCTTTTAATGGCCTTTATAGCAGCTTTGTAATGACCTTATATCGGCTTTAAATTGCAAATACATTTTTTTTCTTCGTATAAAGTACCAATACAAAAATAAATAGCATCAACTTGCCTGGAGAAGGCTTTATTATTTAACAAGCACTGTGCTTCAACGCTATGTTTCTTTTTTTATATATATATATATATATATATATATCCCTTGAAGATGCTCGGAATTTCAAAACGTGAGTAGTTTGTAGATGTTTAAAAACACCAAGCCAAGCACAGTTTCTCTCAGATTTAAGATATAAGTAGCAACGTGTTCCATTTGCTTCAAGTGGCCTCATATTTCCGTTCCTTGTCCTTTCCTTCCCGAACTCCAGAAGCCGCACAGCGAGCAAAGCTCCCCTTAGTCGTTCCCTTTCTCCGGGAGCGGCGCAGCCCTGGCACGGCGCCGGGCGCTCGGCGAGGCCATGGCGGCTGCCGCCCATGGCGGCGCTGCCCCGGYGCCCACGAGCGGCCCTCGCGCCTCCCCGCCGCCCTAACCGCCCTCTCTGCCCGCAGGCCCGAGCCGCAGCAGAAGGTCCCGTCCGCACCGCCGCCACCGCCGCCGCCCCCACCGCCGCCGCTGCCCGAGCCCAGCCCCCCGGAGCCCGAGGAGGAGATTCTGGGCTCGGACGATGAGGAGCAGGAGGATCCCGCCGATTACTGCAAAGGTGCGTGGCCTGCGGCGCCTCCCCAGCCCTTCCCAACGCCGCCATTCCAGGCGGTGGCTGCCGCATCCAGGCCAGAGTGCTGCTCTGTCTCCATACTGCTCTTTACTCTTCCATAGCTAATCTTGGCGTTTTGTGATAAATRACAAATCTTGCACGCCAGTTTTCTTCCTTTCTTCCCTACAGGAGCAGAGGGGGAACTCCCCTTGATTGGTGTTGGTGGTAAAAGAAACAGGAATACCCAAACCTAGCAAACACAAAAACACACCTGACGGCTTATTAAGTGCCCTGATACCTCTGACAACTTCAGCTGAATTTATATTAGGCTCTGATTCTTACTTTACTCTTTTTCTTTCCCACACCAGCTTGAGATTGTTACATGCTATTATTAAACGTGCTGTTTTTCTTAATCTCCAGTGTTTTGGGCTCCCTGCATCTCTATTTTAGTGTTYGGCCTCATTTCCGTGGTTTATGTTAGATCAGATGTCTTTTGTTTATTAAGTTATACAGCATGTGACCATAGTACAGCCGTGTCAATATTTAAGTTTGTTTTAATGTTGCTCCTAAACCGCTTCGCTGGGGCAATGCATACCCTGAACATACATGGAAGATCATAGGTGACAGATCTATTGACTTTGGCTTATCTCTCTCCYAATTGATTTCAGGGATATGAATATACAGCTCAACTATATCTGCTGTTCCATATCCCTCAAATCAAGAAATACTTGCTGTGTTAAACCTGGCATATGCCTCATGATGTTTGTTTTAAGAATATCTTCTTCTTCCAAACTGGAACAAGTTTTTTTTTTTTTTTNTTTTTTTTTTATTTTTTTTTGGTCCATATATAATGATTATAAGATTTTATTATAAAACTTCTATTAATCTGCAGAATTTTGAGTGGCTTAAATGGCTTATGATACCAATAGTGAAAACAAACTGGTAAATTCAAGCCAAATTTTCATCTGTATTCAAGTATACAGTCCACATCAGGGAAAAGAATATATATAGCCAGAATTTATTTTTATTTCTTAAAATTATTTCTCTTACAATACATATGTTCCTTTTTTTTTGTATCTGTAGCATCTTCCATCAGTGAGTAAGGATTTGTTTTTTGAACATCTGCTTGCTGTATTTCATTGAGATTAAGCATTCCTAGGCCCTCACTTAATTCTTCCCTGAAATTAGGGCTGAGTTTAATTTCAAACAATCCGTTATTGTCTGTGTCCCAATGTAGTTTGCAAAATGTGGCCAGCTGGAGAAGTTAGAACACACACATGCACAAACAACTAGCTTTACAGTTTGTTTGCAGGGCACCTGTGAGAGTCTGTGGGGCTATTTATAATCAGTCAGTAGCAATACCTGTTTGCTTTTACAGTGGATTCCATATTAGGCTAAGAATCCTGCAAGTTTTGTGAAAAATTAAAATCTCTGTACTTTTCTAGGATTAGAATTTAGCTATATTAATTTCTATGTTTTGGAGTTTTTTTCTTTCTTTCTTTTTTTTCCCCCCCGGAGACCTGCTTTAATAATTTGAATATGTGATTTTCTGCTTTTGGCAATTTTATTTGTTTTAAGGAGTAGCGGAGAATGTTTGGGAATTATCACTTGTTAAGGGAGTCACTCTTTTTTTCCTAATTTTATCTACAGAACAGGACTCTCCTAGGATATTGAGTGGAGTCAGACCATACTTCATCCATTCAGGCCTGGTTTGAAATCTCTTAGGAGGGCCCTTTTGATGAAGAAGCATATAATTCATTTTGTATTTTAATTTAATATTTTACCTATTAAATATGCCTCACATTGGCTCAATATTTTTGTTGCTGGTTTTATTTTTAATCTTTATTTTTATGGATATGTTGGTGTGAGCTGGACTCTCACATTCACCACGTTATGTGTTGGTTAATAAATAGTTCCCTGTCATGAGAGAATTCGTAATCAGGGAATTGGATTAGTTTGAATTAGCACCTGAGGTGAGAGAGACATCTAACACCTACTTGTGTAAGGTGAACTCTCCCTTGTTCCTCAGGGGCTTTCTCACAACATCCACTTAAATCTGTGGAATGACTTCTGGTGATACCACTCAGTTTAGATTAAATGCTTCTCAAGTGTTTAAGAAATGGAAATATCAAAACACCAAATACCTGATCTTTAAAKGGGTTATTTAGACAATGAAAATATTTCTTCTGCTTTCTGAAATGCCTTGAAACACTTGGAGGTTTTTTTCAAGTGTGTGTCATGTCGTGGCTATAATTGGAATTCTTTCCTTCTGTGATCTTCTTCTTTGCCCCCTGGAGATATCGCCCATTCATCCAGTTTACAAAGGGAATAATTCCCTATACAAACATAGAACTAGTCAGCTACAATTACCAATACATTGAGGAGACATTCAGGAATAATGATCTCATTTTCTGACCCTCTTTCTGTAGCATATGTAGCTAGTTGCATGAGAGACCTCTTTTCTGTTTGCTGAACTGAATAGCACAACAGATTTTTGTTATATTATCAGCAGTAACACTTATATGTTGTATTTTTTCAAATGCTAATATTGGTTTTTCAAAAGTACATCCTTTTTGCTCAAACTTCTTCGTTTCATATAGATGCTTCTGTGTTGTTGCAATTTGAAAATACCTTCTGCATAGCTAAAATAATTACATTCATCATGGCAAAGGTTGATGATAAATTCTAAATGAATTCTTCTTCCTTCCTCCTATAAATTCCCTGCCATGTAAATTTGGGCCATTACTCCAAACAAAAACTGTTTTTTTTTTTTGTTTTGTTTTGTTTTTGAGAAGTAAGGAATTCCTTGTTGGGAATGCTGCGTGTTCTTACTAAAGAGGGCACAATTCTGCAGTGGAAATTTGGGTTGCATTTTAGGTTGCTGAGTGAAATACTTCAGGTGTCCTGGAAGCCTTTTATGAATGTTCTCTGGATCTTTTTCATTCTTTTTAAACTGAATATTTTTCCGTCTAYGTTCATAAGTATTATCAAATTCGAGTGTTGTGTGTGATAGCATATACATAATTATGTAGGTTAGAAGTATAAAGTTGATTTTCACATATTGGTATTTATAAATTTATGCAAAATTTACACAAAAAAAGCTGAAATTTATGTCTACTTCAGTGCTAGGATTCAGGAGAGAGCAGCAGACACCCTTAGCATCTTCCTGTGCTGCCCAGGCAATTCAGACTCCTGTTTTTTGGAGCACTCCTGTTTTGGAGTGCTCCTGGAGGACTCCTGTTTTGGTCCAGCGACCCCACTTCCCACAGCGCAGGTGGASCCGGAGGCAGCCAGGGAGGTAGAGGGGCTCTCTGTGTAAATGAGACCCGTGTGGCCCATCTGAAGTTGCTTGTGGCTGTTGTCACTCACTTCAGACCAGCCCCACTYGATACAGAGGCCTCTGGGTTCGGTGGTGACTATATCTCTATCTCTGTCTCCATCTCTATCTCCATCTCCATGTCTATCTCTATATCTTATCTATATCTTTATCTATCTATATATCTTTAGAGTTCTATCACCAGTGCAATTTCTTAATCTGTCTGGATGCCTTTGAGACAAGTTCACTAAACCCTTGTACCTCTATTAAGGTAGAAGGTGTTATTAGTAAAGACAGGGCTTAAATATATCCACATTTGGTGTCATGGTTCCAAGAATTTGAAGGAGAGAGGAGAGTGCTCCCTCCTTAGATCCAAGGAATAAAGTAATAAATTCACACTGGCAGCTTAATTGGGCACCACTTCCAAGCTGTTTTTCAAGGGCTTGCAAAGYAGCTATAACAACTTACAGCAACTAGCGAGGAATTGATAGTGAAGGTAATCAATAACTAATGATTTTACCTAAAGTACYGTTGGAGGTGGCATTAGGAAGGACCCAGAAGCACAGAGGAGATGATTCTTGGGCAGCTGCTGCGCATGGGTGGTAGCTGCATAGAGCAGCTATATTATTTGTTGGCAATTTAGGCTAAATTGTGAATGTTATTATTAGTGGCCTAGGGCTCCGAGCAGAGCTCCAGCCTGCTCGCTTGTCTCGGCCTTTCCTCTAGCTTTAGAKATCCTGTGTCGTGGTAATAGGTGTCAAGATAGGAAACAGAGACTCGATGTTAGGAGGGCATCAATAAAATCTGTATCRTTCCTAAAATTTTCTCAGGAAATGTTTTATTGCTGCCTCTATTAGTAGAAAATAAATGGGAATTAAAAGAGTCACTGTTCGGATTCTGCAATCATATAAAAATACATTGGCTAGAGAAGCTTCAAATGTGATAATCAAAGAAATAAGGCAGATGTTTCCTGAACTGTCTGCAAAGTAGATGAATGTTTCCTGAACTGTCTGCAAAGTAGATGATAAGCCTGGGGAAATGAAGGGCTGATGGTAGTCCTGCCGCAAATGAAAAGCCCAACAGAGAGAGAAGCAGCTCCACAGTAGGTACAGGCTGTGGGCTTCTCCCTCCTGGCCAAGTAAGGCAAAATTGTGACCATTAGAGTTTATAATTTCCCGCTTTTAGAATTTGAGGACAATTTGAGGATAAAAATCTRTTTTTAAACAATTGTTTGAAAAGCTAGAAAACTTCTTTTTTTCCTGAATATTCTTTTTCTACTTGTGTTTTTTTTCCTGAAAGGAGGCTATCATCCAGTGAAAATTGGTGATCTCTTCAATGGCCGATATCATGTTATTAGAAAATTAGGATGGGGACAYTTCTCTACAGTCTGGCTATGCTGGGATATGCAGTAAGAAAACTATATTCCCTTTTTTTTTTTTCCTGACACATATATAACTTTATTTTGTGTGCAGTAACTTCTGTTTTATATGTATGATAGTTATGTAAATTCTTGGTGTCTCGTTATGTATAAAGATATCTGCAGTATAATTTTGTTCTTGGTTAAGAATGTATTTAATAAAACCTGCCAGAAATAGGTGCAAGTCCACTTGCTTGGACAAATTGGTTTTCCTTTCTGAATATATGTGTTGTCTTGAAATTGTGAGAGGAAGATAATGTTTTTATTCCTCTCCTTATCTTTAATAAAAAGATTATATATTGATTAAATGTGATATGGTGTTCCCAAGTTCCTCTTTTAAAGGCATTAGCATCAAGCAGAAAAAAGTACTTCATAAATCTGTTAACAGAATATTATTAAAAATAATGTTTTAAATGTAATTTTAGAGTGTTCTAGTTTTCTGTCAGAATACGTTAGATTGAAAGATGTGCTATTTAAAATTTCCAGACCTTTGAAATTTGTGTTTTTTATCTCAGAGCGTGTATTAAAAGTGTTTTTATTGTTTCAAGGGGGAAAAGATTTGTTGCAATGAAAGTTGTAAAAAGTGCCCAGCACTATACAGAGACAGCCTTGGATGAAATAAAACTGCTCAAATGTGTAAGTAGAAGCCTCGCAATGCACTGCTGATACTGATAGCGATTACAGTAGTAATATTTTTTTAATATTTAATTTTTTTAAAATGCAACGGAATAATGTTTTTAAGCTTTGTTTACATACTTTTTTTCCCTAAATGTGTGACTTGCTCTATGTTACCTTCGTTTTTGAAAACTATCCAAACTATCATTGATCTTCATAAATAAAGCTAAATAATTAGAAATGCTAAGGTGAGTTTTTTCTTCAAATGTCCATATTTACACTTCTGGTTTAGGTTCGTGAAAGTGACCCTAATGATCCCAACAAAGATATGGTTGTACAGCTGATCGATGACTTCAAGATTTCCGGAATGAATGGAATACGTATCCTTTGGAAGATACTGTTAAAATGATCTTCATTAAAAATGATCTACTGACATGATAAGCATTTTATTTTAGCTAGTCATAGTTTAAAATTGTTATGCAGAAACACCAAAATACAAGCTCAGTCCTGTGTGTTATGCATTCACGTGAGGGAAAGAACCTTAGTTTTTCTAAACACAAAAATAATAAAATACATTAATCCTGTGTTGGACTATTAAAATTAGAGCAGGTAAGTTTATTTAGAAACAAAAGTTTTACTGAAAAAGATTTCTAGTAGCTGAGGTTTACAGTAAATATGCCTTTCTCTAATCCAATGGGTAAAAATAATGTCAACTCACAAAGAAATTGGTTTCTCTTTACTTTTGGAGAGGTTGAAGAGTGTTCTGCTCGTGGCTAGGTGAACCTCTGTTGGCCAGACTTCAACATCTCTCTGTTAATGAAGCTTTTAAAAATTTAACTAGTACCTCCTTAAAAAGACAAAAATGGAGGCAAAGGAATATATGACTAAATACTGTGTCTAGGTAAGATTTTGAGCCTGAATATATTTAATTTATGAGCTGACCTAAAGTGAATTATCTCTGCTAATTGCATTAGATACTTCAGCAGCTTACGATATTACTGCCATTTTGTTTATTGTTGTAATTGGTAATTTGTATGATTGTTGTGTCTTGGAGCCCTAATAACAGCTGAAGATAAAGATGATTCCTCCTCTAGAGAGCTTAAGACTAAGTTGATTTTGGTGACGCTCCTCCAGTCTTCAGCAGATTAGGTTAAGATGCTCTTCATCAGCTCCCTGCCCTCCTTRGGCGAGGAGTGAGGAGCTCTGTCTGAGGAGCTGTGTGCAAGCAGGGCTCGTCCTGCCCATCCGTCTCTTACACTGGCTGCGAAGCCTTTGAGTGTTTAATAAGAGAGATGGAGAGCGTGAGGACAAGTATTCTGACGTGCAGAATGGGATCCTAACTGCTTTTTCTTTGTCCCCCTTTGGGTGGTTTCCTCATCTCTTCATTGCTCAGCTAGCATGACAGATACCTAAATTTAGTGAAAAAAGTATAATTTGTTTTTCWAGGTTTCAACATCAAAATAAAATGAATTAACCTAAATTATGCAGTGGCTAATAGTCACCCCAGAAAAACTATTTGTGATGAAGGAAACTGTTTAGCACAGTGAGGCAAAGAACCCTGATTAGGACTTCTTGGTACTAATGTGATAAGAAAAAATAGGTTTTAATCTGTGATGCTGAGATGCATACTGAGAAGTGTTATAAACATTTTGTCTAGAAATACTGAAAATCGAGATCAAATTATTAAACTCTTCAGATTCTGGCTTCAGTATGCTATATTCAATGTGCAAGGAGATGATACAGTACGCTTTTCAGCTGGCTACCCGCTGAAGAATGATTAACATTTTTAGAAAACAGATTTGACATACTTGTTTTCTTTGTAAAACTGATTTGTCTTTATAACACTAATATGAGATAGGGAATAAGGAAATAGTTTCATGCATACACATAGAAATACTTATCTGTGTAACAGTATTTTTCCCAATAACATACTTACGTTATTAATATTTCATATGTATTAAAGAAGAAAGCCTTTCCTGAATGTGAAGAGGAAGCTTTATTAATAATAATATTTTGAAAAAATGTCCCTTTTTCTCTCACGAAGTGAGAAGAGGCTATTTATTAGTCAAAAATAAGAACTCAGATAGCTCTGTGTTAGTAGATTAAAACTGGACAGCTGATACTGATCGTTTCCATTTTTAAGTTTTACCTTTACACTGGAAACTCTGGCATCTCAAAATTGCTTTTGCATTCTTGACAAAAATATTCCTGCCTTCCTGGAAGTAAATTATTCGGAAAGGTAGAGTAGACAGGATGGGCTGATCCTGGAGTAGGAGCCCATTTAAACTGCACCTGAAAGTCTGTCAAAATCCAAACCACCAGTGAAAATACAAGGATATCTTGTGCTTTGAGTTTCCTCGAGTGAAAAATTGCACATCTTGTGTTGGGTGCACTGATTATTTGATCAACTCCTCTCTATCTCCTTCGAAAAAAATCTTTACTGCAAGTTCTTTTGAGCGGGGGCAGGTGTATGTTTCTATTGAAAAAAAAAACGTATTAGTGCTGTGTTAATGATGCTCTTATGGAGTTGAACATGTTGAGAGAARTACAAGAATTTAAGAGATTTCCCGCTGTGCTGTTCCTGGCTTGCTTTGAACAAGCCACTGAGTATCTGTTCTCCATCTGTAAATTAAGACGACACATACCTCATAGGTAAAGGATCAATTATTTATGAAATACATTTAGAAGTTAAAGCAATACAGGAGAGACGTGAGTGAATCCTTTAATGGCTAATACCATGGAGTGCCGTGGAGCTTCCAAACAGGGAAATCCATCAAKACCCATGTAGCACAGGGCTGGGAATGTGCAGAGTCATGTATGTTTGTATATAGATGAATTTTAACAATGTCTATTACACTATGCTAGACTTAGGTATTTTTTAACTACTTGTGTAGTGGCTTTTTTTCAGGAAATGACAAACTTTGCTAACTTTGGCTGCTCAGCGGTTTTGATAAAGGTGTGTTATTGTATTTTACCACATTGGATGTGTATTAAAGTTGAAAKCAATGTTTAACTGAGAGTAACATGTTTTTGTAAAGAGATTCAGATAATCGTATAAGGAAACAAGTGTTTGGGAGCTAAGTGAAAAATATTCTCTTGAATATTTTCAACAGAAGTGAAAAATATTCTKTTCTTTTTCTGGTAAATAGCAGATATTTTATTGTGGAACTCCTCTTTCTCTGTCCATGGCAGCCTTAATGGCTTTGCTTAGGCAGATTAATAAGACCTGTCGAACTAATTGAGTGTGCTCAACTCATCCTCTTTGATTGCATGCTCCAGTGGTGATTTCTGTTCACTGGATGTTCACTGGATAATTAAGGGAATGGAACATCTCTTGTATGAGGAGAGACTGAGTGAGCTGGGCCTGTTTTCTCTGGAGAAGAGAAGGCTGAGAGGGGATATGATTAACATGTATAAGTTCAGGAAGGGAGAATGCAGGGAGGAAGGGGACAAGCTGTTTTCATTGGTGGCCAGCGACAGGGCAAGGGGAAATGGCGATAAGCTGAAACACAGGAAGTTCCATCTCCAGGTGAGGAGGAACTTCTTTSCTGTGAGGGTGACAGAGCAGTGGAACAGGCTGCCCAGGGAGGTTGCGGAGTCTCCTTCTCTGGAGGTCTTCAAAACCCRCCTGGATGCMGCCCTGTGCCCCRTGCTSTAGRTGTGCCTGCTTGAGCAGGAAGGTTGGACTAGATGATCTCTAGAGGTCCCTTCCAACCTTGAATATTCTGTGATTCTGTGATGTGTGTATGGTTAGGCAACCAAGACTGTTTCCTCTTCYGAATGGAATAGAGATTTATAATCTGAGTAGATTGATTAATATGAATGGGAAATGATTATTCACTGTCTCTCCTAGTACAGAGATTAAGGAACATCTGATGAGATGAGCGAGTGGCAACAATCAAAAYGATCCAGTTCTTCACAAAGTACTTTGAGCTTTTGTCTTTCAGTCTAACTACAGAATAGGTGATGCAGATTTTAAAACTTCATTTAACTTTATGAATATTGGTAGGCACTTGGGAAGAAGAATATAAATGGTAGATTCATGGACAAATCTCCTTTTAACTTAAGTGAAAGTAATGACTATGAAATCCTTGTCAAGACTGTAATTAATATAACTTTGGTAAATCAGGTAAAATACCTCCCCTAATAGTATGTTTCTCTGTCAGTAGTCCTGAARTACAGATTCAGGCTAATTTCCATCTGTTGAGATTTTCCTGCAGCAGGAATATCATCCATCCACTAATTCATTTTCCTGTATTGGTTTTGCATTACTCTTTGCAAGCCTACCATATCYTGTAGTTGAGATTTTAATGTTCTTCTCAGTTTGCCACTGCAAAATTATTCCCAGTTTATGTGTGAAGATTAATGCTGTAGAGTGAAATCGTGCATTTACTTGTCAGGGTGTTGTGGATGCWAAAACTTGCAATTAAGTTGAATGTTTTCTTCATAGATGAATAAACTATCCACGAGTCTAGAATCTCCCAATTTAATGTCTCCCAGAACCACAAATCACTGGAGTTTCTTGCTCTCTTCTAATGCTCTTCTCTGCGTGTCTCATTTGGTGGCAAGATTTGGTGGCAAGGTTAAGTAACTTGCTGGGTTTGTGTTTGCATATTGCTTTTTCTGAGTTTGCATTTTTTTTATTACTTATGTCTTCAATGATTGCATTTACTCTGTGTGGTGAAAACTTCTGAAGTAGTTTCTGAAGAGGACCCCTCTTCTATTTTTCTAGTCTCTGGTTGACAGGTGATTCTCAGTTAAGCCTAATCATAACGATGTTCAGTATAACTCATTTTATAAACTTTGTTGCTTCTGTCTTCTGTTGTTAAAATCTTCTATTGGTTTCATTTAAAATTTATTAGAAATGACAGATAATAAGACAAATCAGTGTTTTGAATTACTTCAAGTTAAAACAAAATAGCTGGTCTCCGAAAGGACCTTCCAACCTTAGCTGTTCTGTGAAAAATCAGTTATTTTTTGCAAGTAACTGTTTCATGTTTTACGTTCATACTGTTTTTGCTTTTAGACATAGCTAACAAGAATTGCCTCGTTAAAATGTTTTACTTGTTTGAGTTTAAGTGCTGTTCTTGCACATACTTTGCTTAGTTCAAGATAACTTGTTTTCTTCTAGGTTGATGAGTGCTTTAGCCAGTACTGAAAAAAAACTGTAGTTGATCTAATCAGCAAGTTTCTTTGGAAATTTTCCTTAATTAAATCTCAGATGTCTGTATGGTCTTCGAGGTACTTGGGCATCACCTCTTAAAATGGATAATAAAATCCAATTATCAAGGCCTTCCCATCCGTTGTGTAAAAAGTATAATTCGACAGGTAAGATTCGTTRAAGTTCTAATTAGCTTCTCCCACAATTGTTAACAGTCTGGAGGTTAAAATAATGACATTTCAAATGAAATCTTGCTAACAAATCTCGGTTAAGTTAATTTTATAGGCAGCCCAAGAGAGAGTTTGCAAGACTATCTTCCTAGATGGCCTGCATTTCTGTATATTGTATTTTATCATCAAAATWCCCAACTAATATGGGAGTTTCCTGTGCTGCTTTAGAAAAACAAAAGCTGAAATAATGAGTCATTACACATTTGTAGGGATATTCATACTTAATTTCAATTTGTTTAACAAAGCCTTCAGTATGTCATGCTTCTTATGAAGCTCTCTGGAAAATGCAACATCAGAGCATTGGGAAATAATATACAATTATAAAACTGAACAAGAGTTGTACATCTGTCTAAAASATGTGTCCTAAAGGAAATCCTTTTTTTTTTTTTTTTTTAAATTCTGTTTTCTTTCTATATTTAATTGTTTTAGAGTGGAAGTCCCAGCATAATTATCAGTTCAGAAAATCTCACAGAGAGATATTTTTTTCAAAATATATTGTCTTGCTGTATGGTAATCTTAAGGATAAACGGTGTCTTGACAAGGAAAACCTATAGACAATGCTACTGTATATGATTTTGTATATACAGTTAAACCATATGCCATTAATTTCTACAAATGACCAAAGAAATATTTTCAGTTTGGCACTTGAAATTCGTATTACCTTTCATTGGAATTGCATATATTAGAATTCGTAAACTATCTATCATGTTAGGAATGTGTGTATTTATATTATATGTGCATACGTATAACCACTCTTTTCAGTAAATACTGTCTTTTTTTTGTTTGTAATATTTTTGCTTTGTTGCATTGTCGTCCTGGAGTTTGACTGAAAGCTGGGAGTTTTCAGTGATATAGTTGCCTGAAAGCCAGGCTGTAGCAGCAGAGCCAGGTTTAGGAGCTCCCTCACGTACTTCACTGTGACCTCATTACCCTGACTGCAGAAACAGGCTCTGTACCAGACCACTCAACAGATCCAAGGGAAAACCCACTACTTTTTGGGTGGGAAGTGTGAACTATTGAACCCAGCTCACAGGGACTTTGCCACCAGGCTCCTGTGGCCTAGGAGGGGAGGGCTCTCAGGTGGRATCCTCAGGGATGGAGGCCATAAGAAGTGTGGCCAGGGAGGAGTTGCCCAAGGGGCTTTTGGAGGAGGTTCTCCGGGTTTTCTCTGCTAGTCAGGACTGAATGAATGTCCCTCAAGTGCCCCTTTAGGCAGGGAAGAAGAGTTGACTTCTACACAAAGGAGTCATGTAAGAGCTTGAATCCTGTAGAGTGAGTGGGTGATGTGCAGGCTGGGTCAGGGTCAGGGGGAAGACCAGCAGGAGTGACATTACCCTAGGTACTGCTGTGGGCTGCCATTTCCAGGAGTCGATGAAGAACTTCTTTAGATAACTGGAATAAGCCTCCTGATCCCAGCCCTGGTTCTTATGGGAGGCTTTTACCTTGGTATCTGCTGTGGTGGGATGCACATTGAAGGAAGAGGAAGCAGCAGGTTGGTGAAGGTGATTACTCTCCTTAGTTTTGGCACTTCTGAAATTGTGTTTGGAATGCCGGGCTCCAAGGTACAAGACATTGATGTGCTCAAGTGAGCCCAGTGGAAGACCACCAAGGTGATGTATGAGGAGTGGGGAGAGCTTTGTTTGTTCAGTTTTAGGAAGAGATGGGAAGCTAGAGGCAATTTCCAACTATGTACTGAGTGGGTATAGAGAAGATGGAGCCAAACTGCTCTTGGAGATGCCCAGAGGTGGGATAAGAGGCAAAGCATGCAGGTTTCAAAAAAAAAGGACACTCATTACATATTAGGAAGACCATTCTTCACTCAGAATTCACTCTGAAGTTGAACTGGCAAAATGCTCTTGAGCAATCTGGCCTCATTTGGAGCATTGATCCCACTCCAGAATTGGTTTGTCTTTGACTGGGGAGGAAGGAGGGTTGAATCGCATGATCTCCAGAGGTCCCTTCCAACCTAGATGAATCTGTGGCTGCAAGGGAAAGCCCCACGTGGTTCAGGCAGTTCACAAGAGAAACTGCCTAGTCCTGGAAGAGGAAGATTTACATTTTGTGAGGTTGGAAGAAGACCACTTTTTGAGAGAAAACCCATACACACACGTTCTAAAAACGCTGCRCTGGTGTTGCTGTACAGCACGCACTAAACTGAAAGAACTCCTGGATGCTACAGTTGGGAAAATACCTTTTTTTTWAAAAAAAATAGGAGTACATTTGTAACACTGAGACTTTTTTTTTTAATGCAGCTGAGAGTTGAATTTCTTAATAAGAAATTTCAGTTTTAAGCAGTTTTTTTCCCTGGGGAAGAGCTATATGAACTGTCACAAAAGAGATGACCCTGCAGCATGGAAAAGCGGCTGCTTGTGGCAATCCCTTTTGTTTGTGATGGGCATGATTGAAAGTGTCAATTTATTTAATGCTAGGGCCCATGCTGTGGATAGTAAAATACAGAGCATTAGTCTGTTTTAGAAGGAGCCCATTCCAAAAAAAAAAAATTACAAGAATTAGCATCACGTATAAGTGACAATTTTTACTCTCGCAGCTGGCGTACAGCATAGTAAATAATCTGCTTAATGGGTCAATATGATGTGGCTCCTTGAAAACAAAATTATAGAATAAATAATATTTATAGAATAAATAAATAGAAATAATAAATAGAAATAATGAATAAATAAATTGAAACTACAAATTATGGCAGAAAGTTTCTTGATGTGAGAGTAATCACTTGATCTTTACAAGGGAAGAAATAAAATCTCGTAAGCTACTCTGGTAATTGTATTTAGAGGACATATTTTTTCAGAACTGTTGTATGTTACGTATTTCAGATTTTACTTTTTCAGTAGTCAAATAAGTAAAAGGCAGGAGCGCTTCCCCTGGTTTCTGTCCTCACAGCAAGGTGCAAAGACTGTACATTTTGRAGACATTTCCTTGCTGATCTTTAGGATAAAGCAGTTCACGTTTTAGGCTATCTAATCATAAAATTCTAACAGTTTGGTCATTCAGTTTGATCATTATGATAAATCAGGGAACAGATTATGATACTTACCAAAAATAGATACTTGATCTTCAACTCGCGGAGTAAAAAGGAACATTGTGCCGAATGCCTTGCTTAAATATATTGGATTTACTGACTGCCTCATGGACTCTTGTGAGTGTGYAGTGTCTGCTTGGTGTGGAATAGCCACTGCTACCAATTCTTTTGAACGTGTATTATAGTTATTTGCATTTTGCTGCAGCTGCTTTGGACCTATGCATTTCGGGACCTGTACCTGAGAGCAAGTAGGGAGGGCATGGGCCAATTTATTTATAAAATGCCTAGAATGGAAGGATGAGCTTGTGGGGGAAGCTCAGGAGCAAGTGATTTAATATTTTCCTGTAGATCATGCTTTAAAAAATGAAATCTTGTGTGCAGTGTTAGCTAGTTTGGGTTTTTCTTCTTTCCTGACAGTATCGTTCCACAGTGTTTTACACAGGTTATCATTGAAGCAATTTTGTTTATCCTGTTACATTATTCAGTAGAAAAAAATTATGGCATTTCTCTAGTCCCAGAAGACATTTAAGGCTTTGGATATTCAGTTTTAACATAAGCTAGAAGAATTTAACCTGAAAGACTAGTGGAAGCATTCACGTAACAAGAACAGCTAGACAAGTTCTTAGCTGTCATCTTGGACACGTTTAAAGCTGACTTACTACTGCAGGTCTATGCAAARCTATAGGTAACATTTAATGCAAAAAAACACATTTGCCTTTATTTTTTATTTTTTAGAATAATGAAGTGTAAGGTTATTTGCAAACCCGGCTGCAGTTGCAGCATCCAATATTCACAGCGTTTATTTTGGAATAACCATTTTTCAAGCAGTGAATCAGGGATGCTCATGTTGTCCAGCCGAGCAGTCAAATAGGAATTTGCAGAAGGAATAGGAGTAGAAGTAGGAACAGGAATAGGAATAGGAAGAAGTGTTGAGTTTTTCCCGTTTCTGCAGATCAGCTGAAGAGCACTTGGCAAGTGGTCTCAGAGCAGGCTGCTGCCATCAAGACAGTTCAGCCAGTCGGCAGCTTCTTTAGGAATGTTTCTAAAACCGGTTTGTGAGCAAAGTAAATTTTTCTRGCAGGCCACATATGGACAGCTGGCAAGAAATGAGCATCTGCTCACTAACGAGACATCCATTTAGCTTGGCCTGGCTCGTTAAATTAAATTTCCAACCCTTCTGCAATTAGGTGCTTCAAGGTCTAGATTATCTCCACAGCAAGTGCAAGATCATCCATACGGATATCAAGCCCGAGAACATTTTGATGTGTGTGGATGATGCCTACGTCCGTAGRATGGCTGCAGAGGCCACCGAGTGGCAGAAAGCCGGGGCTCCTCCTCCCTCCGGCTCGGCAGGTATGGACACGGTGTTATATGTTAAGTTGCATCATGCTAAGAGTGCTTTGTTTGAGGAAAATTATCGTATTTGAAGTAATTGCATGTGGATATTAAGTGATCTTAATGTGTACCTGCTTAGCTTTTACTTATGCCCTGAAACTGTGAGAGGAACACTTTGTTTTTCCCAGTTTTGCAGGCTCAAGTTTTTGGAGTGTCCTGCTAGATTAAAAGAAAAACCTCCCACACTCACCCCTCTTTTATGGCTGGCTACTGCAGCATTGGAGCCTTGCCTCTCTAGTGTTGATTTATAACCTTTTAAAAAATATATGTCTAAACCATTATAAATTCATCGGCATCAATGTGAAATCATCTTATGGTCGATGATAACTTATTCTTGCAAGTCAACAGGAAGGCTTAGATTCTGTAGACTGTCCCACTTGTAATGGGAATTTATTGCTCTTGAGTTTATGGCAAGCTCTTCTCCCCAGCACTGCATGTGAGATAGATTAAGGTAAACTTGCCAAGGGTTTAGACAGGAACTGTACATTTTTCCATGTTTAAAGTGATGCAATGTGCTTAGCTAGGAGAGACTGAGGTGAAGGAATTCTGAGCAATCAGTAAAGTCAAAGAAGGAGAAAGTGTGGCTTTTTTACTCATCTTTTGTACCATGGCTGCTGTTTAGTTTTCAATCCAGCACTTCAGGTACAAGCAGTGGAGAAATAATATTTAAATGCCTTGGTAATCTTGTCAGAAAATAGATTGCAGAGCAAAATAGCTGAGTTGTAATCAAAACACATGTTATATCATGAACAATTACTGTGATCAAAATCCATAAATATTTCTACAAAGTATGTCGTTTTCAAACTCTTAAAATTTCCCTAAAACATTTTCTTTTCAACATCATTTTAGACCCAGTTGTTGACTGTGATGTTTTTTTGTTCTGCCAAAAATGATTGTGATATTTCACAATGTATGTATTAAGATACAAGAGTATATAAATGAGGAACATGCATTGAATTTTACGTATGTTATCGTATAGCTAAGGGCTCTGCTATTTGTATGAAAATTATCTTGTTTTTTCTTATGGAGCCTGAGTACTACTTCTTGACATTAAAATAAACACTGTTTTGGGGAAGCCACGAATCAGATCCTTTTTACACTTTATTTGTAGCAAATTTTAGTTAAAAATATGACTTTCCAGACAGGAGCTAAAGTTGTATCTTATTGCAGCATTTCAGGACTTTTCAGGAATAGGTTCTGCCTAATTTCCCTTCTTCTTAGAAAGGAAGTGCTGCTGAAGTTTAAGAACCTTTTGGGAAACATTTAATGGTCATGGAAGCAGTTTTCTCTGGGTTTAGCAGTGGAAGCTGAACCTGTAAAACCACTGGGAGATGTTAATGGTGCCCGTGCTTGATTTTGTGCTTGTGAAGGGCTCAAAGAACTTCTTCCCCTCTTCCTCTTTGCTCCACTCTCACATATCTGGTTATTTTTCTTGTTTTCAGGTATTTGAGGGATTTTTGTGTGGCTCATTTTGTTAAATGCTTTTGCAGTTAGCATGGTGATCATTTCAGATAGCAATTACATAATTATTTCTTAGAAATAACTAAAGAATTATTTCCAGTTGTTTATTATTCCTTGACTTAAAGAATAATATAAGGAAGGAGGGGAGCGGTCACAGATTGACTTTTCTTTGCTTCTTGTAACCTGGAACAAAATTGATCCTGGCAGAGAGTCTGACAGAGCCCTGAAATGGTTTCAGGCAGCAGGCAGTTGTAAAGAGTCAAAGGAATCAATACAAAAAAACTCTGCTTTGGGATTTAGTACAGAATATTTTTGTATCATTTCTATTATTTCTGCTATTACAGAGTTGTTTCTCTAAGACCGTATATTTAAACCCCCTTTTTTTTTTCTTTTCAGTGAGTACAGCTCCACAACAAAAGCCTGTAAGTACTGTTATATAACCTAGATTAACTCTTTTGTTTTCTCTGTTTTTATAGGTACTAATTAGCCTGTTGATAGTCTGTACCCCTTTTAAAAGCTTCCTTTGAATATAGCTTTTACCTTTCAAAGGATGACTTTCTTTTAATACCTTGTAAGTTTTAAGCATAATATTTCTCCGATAGAAACTCTCACAGACTTTACATTTCCACAGTTACGATAACAACTTCATGTCAAACAAATTAAGCGTTTCAGTTATCACACATTGTGGACAGCATAAGGACTTGAATGTCTGAAGAGAGAGGATTTTGCATGAGGCTTGAAAAACATTTTTGGCATGTGCATATCCCAAATAAACAGTGATATAGAGCAGTCAGTAATCCAAGCTCAAACCGGCTTTCTATATCTGCGTATGTAACATATAATTTAACTGTGTTTACAATATACAGGTACTACGACTATCAAATAAYTGTTTTTGACTTGAGTTTATTTTGAAGATATTAGATTTATAAACAAAACTGATCCTAGAACATTTCTCTTTGCTTCTTATACTTGATTTCTGAACTATACGAGTATTTCTTATTGTGGTAGAATGAATTTATCCAAAATTSGGTAGAACTAATTTATCCAATAATGAAATTAGAAATCAAATTTCAAGCAAAATTGAATCAACTGTTTCAGTGTTAGCTCAGATATCTTGGTTTATCTTTTCCTTGTTACTGTACCTGATCTTTTCAATCCTTATGTTATATATAAAATGTTAAACTTTTTATAATGGCCATCTGTTGTTCGTGATTCATATGTTTTGGACCAGAAATGAATAATGAAAGTATTTTTTTCTTTCACAGGGAAATAGCTAAATAACACAGGATTCATTCAAAATTCTTTACCATTTTTGGACTCTTTGGGTTTCTCTATTTTTCTTAGCCTACTTTGGCTTGCCATTAGCTGCAAGGTATAGGAAAAGAAATCATGGCTCTAACTTATATATGGATTAATAAAGATGAAAGCAGAATATCTTCCACATACAACAACATGATCTTTGGTATAGGGTATAGCCTAAAATTATTCTACTAGTCAAGATTATACCCTTGTAGACATTTTACTATGGTGTACCAGTTGTATTTTCCTTCTGTATCTAATAAACTACCATATAACAACACGTATATCCATGTAGGATTTTGATAGCTTTTCTGCTTCTTGTAATGCTAAATTAATTTGAAATAAAATGGAAAAAAACCCACAAATTGTTTACTATATTGATTGCCATTTTCACATAAGAAGTAATCACACTGCAAGTGAACTTTTGATAATAAGATGCCCTGGGGAGAAATATTTAGTGTTTTTTGTTTTCTCTTGTTTTTTTAATATTTAGGTGGGGAAAATATCCAAAAACAAAAAGAAAAAACTGAAGAAAAAACAGAAGAGGCAAGCGGAGCTATTAGAAAAACGCCTGCAGGAAATAGAAGAACTAGAGCGAGAAGCTGAAAGGAAAAAAATAGAAGAAAAYGTAACCTCTGCAGTGCCATCAAATGAGCAAGAAGATGAGTACCACCCAGAGGTGAAGCTAAAAACAGCTGATCTAGAAGAGGTAGTAGATGAAGAAGCTGGCAATGAGGATGGTCAGTATTAGCTGCTTTTACTGAATCTGAAACCAAGCTACTCTGTGAGAGGGCAGTGTCATTGCAGTATTTCATCTGTTGTAATGAGTGAAATCACTGAACTTTCCTAGATCCTTGTTTTTTTTTTGTTTTTTGTTTTTTTCCGGTGGATAAAGTCGTAACTAGAAGTCTAGAATGAGAAAAGAAAGTCAAACTTTGTATTGTAGAAGTGAAGAAAAGCATGACTTGCCATCTAGCTATCAAATCTCACAAAAGGACACCTGGAGAACTCAACAGAACAGTCCGTTACCATGCCATGTTAGGTGGCATAACCAAGTATCTTGGTGAGCCAGGAGAAAAATAACCTCAAGTTTTATTCTATAATGTAAGTTAGAAACATTCTTGTTTTCCCTCTTTTTTTTGCTCAAGTTTTTGCTGGTAATAGACTGTCAGGTAATAATGATAATTACAGCTTCTTGGYTTTTAAGATGACTTGTTACAATTCTTTGCGTCTGGAGGTTTGTACCATGATTGTTACAGTCCAGATCTTTTTTAGCTTCCCATTTTTTTTGTTGACTTTCTCCAATTCAGAAAAAAATACAACTGCAGAACCCATGATTCTCTCCTCCCTCCCTTCCTCTCCTCTCTCCCTCTCTCCCTCCCTTCTTTCTTTCTTTCTTTCTTTCTTTCTTTCTTTCTTTCTTTCTTTCTTTCTTTCTTTCTTTCTTTCTGTCTTTCTGTCTTTCTGTCTTTCTGTCTTTCTGTCTTTCTGTCTTTCTGTCTTTCTGTCTGTCTTTCTTTCCCATACTGTGAATTTTCCTACCTCTCTGACTCCCTGATGGATAGCGATTGAGTCACAGACTTGTACTTAGTGCTTATTTTCAAGACTTGCTGTCTTGCACTAGTGCTTATTTTCAAGACTTTCATGCCATTCTTCTCTGAATTGATCGCTTGGTAACAGCCTTATTAGTTTCTTCATCTCACCTTTAATTTAGACTTTAAGTTCTTACCGTATTTCAGTGATATTCACTGTTTCTTTTTGTGCTCTTTCAGAAGTCATGGACTTCTGAAGACCCGGACTTCTGAAGAGTAAAAAATTCCAAATGCCTCATTCTGACCTGGGTATGACCTAATTGTTGCTYGTTAATTTTTTTCAGGTGAAGCAGAAGATCAGGATGAAAAAGAAGACACAGAGAAAGAAAACACTGAAAAAGATGATGATGTTGAACAGGAACTTGTCAACTCCGACTCTACAGACCCTAAGTGGATAGAATCCCCCAAAACAAATGGCCATATTGTGAATGGCCCTTTCCTATTGGAACAGCAGATTGAAGATGAAGATGAGGAAGAGGAAGAATGTCCAAATCCAGAGGAGTATAATCTTGATGAGCCAAATACAAAAAGTGATTACTCTTATAGCAGCTCCTATGAACAATTTAATGGTGAATTGCCAAATGGACGTCACAAAATTCCTGAGTCACAGTTCTCTGAATTTTCAGCTTCAGTGTTTTCTGGGGCTCTAGAGTCTGTAGCTTGTGGTTCTGCTGTTTCTGAAGGATCAACTGTAACTGAAAGAGAGGAGAGCAGCCCATCTCATGACAGGAGCAGAACAGTTTCAGCTTCAAGCACTGGCGATTTGCCTAAAAGTGAGTTTTGCCTTTGGTGTCATATCTAAAAGTAAGTTTTGCAGAATGAGTAATGGGTTTAAACCTTATAGATGTGTTGGATTTTTTTTCTCTGTTCAGTGCCACACGTATGCAGATTTTACTTTTGTTTGCTTTTGGTGAAAAAAATTTTGCTTTGGTGAGAATTTTTTTTTTTTTGGTGAAATCAGTAGTACCAAGCATTAGGTGACAGGCCATCGTGTGCTTCTTTCAGTAGCAGAAAAGGATTCTGTCACAGCCCCTTCCTTGACCTTAGCTTGTGGAGTAGGGCTAGCCCATCTCAGCAGGCTCGGCCTTTACTGTGGATTTGCCTACACTGTTTTAAACCCCTTTTTCTGGGTAAGTGCCAAACCTGCGTCCTGCTTCCCTTCCTGCCAGAGTGAGGGGTGCCCACTGAAAAGATGGTGTCTGTGTCAGCCTCCGCACTTGGAGAAATCCATGCAGTCTTCTCCCAAATACTCCGTCTCCTAGGCACTCCTCAGGCTTGAGCAGGAAGAGGGATATGGACACAGATATTCCAGGATTGGGGAATGGCTGCAACCCTCTCCTGGCAACCCCTTTCTCCATGAGAATTGAATTAACCTTCCTGGTTGCATCCACCAGGAATATTTTGCTCATTGAATTTTATATTGTGTGAATGCGAAAACTCAGTTTTCATTATTTTAAATTTCATATTTCATCTTAGGAAGCCTGTGGCAGAAAGGTAGATTGGGGGTCTAGGAATGAAGAGGAGAATTTTGATTACTTTGATCCAAAAACATTCTGGCAAATTTCTACCTCGTAGGACCAACATTCAAGAAAAAAGCCAATATGTGTTAGTTTTGAATGACTTAGTGAA